TTGTGGTGCTGACACGTAGTTATTTTTGTAGTGTTTTCTATTTTAATTTTTTTTTTTTAGATTTTAAATTAATTTTTATAATTCTAAAATTCTCATTTTTTATGGCGCTTTCTCCTATTATATATAGATAGATTTTAATAATTCTTCAAATTCTCTTTTTTTGTGGCGTTGACACACATGCATATTTTCTTCTCCTATTATATATAGATAGATAGATTTAATTAGAAAAATGTGCTTGAAAGCCTATATATTTTTTATTATTATTTTCTTTTTTCACTAATCTCTTCTAATCCCGAGAAAATTTACTTTTAGGAATAGGTAAAAATTCAAATACATTATACTCTTTTAACATATAGTGTATATGTTATTTCAAAATTTTAATTGGGACCAATTCATATTTTAAACAAATTAATGAATATCTAAGGATAAAGTTAGAAATTTATTGTAATCACTTAGGAACATGTAATATTTAAAGTCTACATTAATTTGGTCAATTCTAATTCAGATATTTCTTCTGTCATATCAAGAGGCCTATTTCTCAACATCAAAATGCAATAGACTTATCGGAAATACAATATAGTATATTGATTAGTAAACATTATCATTCCAAAATTTTAAAACTCAATCCACTCTATTAAGAGTAATCCAAAATTCTAGACTTCAATTACTACAATTTCCTGAAATTTATGATTTATTGCATCAAAAATCTGTGTTGAAAAGAAAGTTATTATATATATAGAAGTTGTAAATGTGAAGAACAGTTAAAAGTTAAAACTTATTTCATAATTCAAAGTCATAATTTTTTTTGATATTTTCTTAAAATATTTAATTCAAATGTATGAATAGAATTTGAATCATCATCTTTAACGCTTAAGAGAAGAAATCAAAACCAAGTAATAGCATCTCTAACATGATATTTTTTTCATTTAGATAAATAAAAAGACAAAAAAAAAAAATTAAAAGAATATTCCAACCAAATTTATATATAAAAATTGTATGCGTTCTACTATATTTTTTCATAGCATTAGATAAATTCTTAAGCTGGGTTGCCAATAAGAAATAGGAGTTGGCATATTTGTGAGTTTAGAGCAATTTCAAGATGATTACGGATTAAAAAGTATTGAAAATTAAGTAAAATTTAATGTAATGTACCTTATAATACATGTGCAAACACTTCAAGCACGAAAAATATCAATTGATGTACATATACTTTACCAAATTGTATGTGAAATAAATGATCAAGAATTCGAAGAATGGTTAACGGTCAATTCTCTTTCCGTAGCACATACTAACTGAATCCAAGATTTGTTCT